GGGGTCGTCATTTGTACAAGTGACTGTCTTGAGCAGGTGGCTGTCAGAACAGATCCGACTGTAGTAAAGTTTTTCATTTTGTCTCCCCTTTGGCCAGGCAGTGACGTGTCTACGTCGGACAAGGACGAGTGTCACGTGGAGTGTGTGGCCTTCACCCAGGAGGACTACGACGAACTGGTCATCACAGGATTCGCCGATTTCCCTGGTGTGTGGCTGATGGATTGGTGGTGGGTGGTGGGTGGTGGGTGGGTAACTGGTTGGTATGTGGTGGGTGGGTGGTTGATTGGTGGTTAGGGGGTGATTGGTGGGTGATTGGTGGGTGTTTGGTGGGTGGTTGTGACTGGATGGTGGTTGCTTTTTTGTGGTTGGTGATTGGTTGGTATGTGGTTGGTGGGTGGTTAGTATGTGGTTAGTGAGTTGTTGGTCGGTGGTTGTTGGGTGATGGGTATGTGATTGGTGGGTGATTGGTGGATGATATGGGTGGGTTAGTGGGTAGTTAGAGGGTGAATTAGGGGTGGGGGTTGCGTTGGGACTTGCGAGTATTGTTTATTAGCCGACTTCCCCGGTAGGTGGTCTGTGGGGAGATAGAAGGGGAAAGAAGGATTATTGCTTCATTTTTGGTTTTCATTGCTTTGCACAGTGGGTGTGAAGTAAATCTGTCTTCATTTTTGTAAAAAATGTACTCTTACGCAGAGCCAGCCGATGAATCCCCTAATACATTGTAATAATGTAGCCTTTCAACTACGACGTCAAAATATTATAGAGGGCACTTTTTGCAAACCTTAAATCAAACCAGATTGAAGTAGAAGCTTTTCTATGTATTGAAATGAGGTGCAATAGGTCTTATCAAAGTACTTATAACAGCTGGTTTTAACTTGCCACACATTTGCAAACCTTTTTTTTCACTTGTTTGTCTGTTTATTTCGTTTAAGTTTTAGAATTTTTCGGAACTTACCATACAAATTGGTTATATAAGTACCGAAGATTAATTACGAGTGAATAAGAAAAAAAGGAGAGATACAGGCGATAGATGCTTGATAGGAAAGAAGGAGGGTGTGTGTGTGTGTGGGGGGGGGGGGGGGGG